AACCAGTGAAGGCTCCTCAACCTTAGCCAGACTGCAGTTAAAGTGACAACTAGTGAAGGCTCCTCAACCTCAACCAGACTGTGAAGTGAAAGTGTCCATCTTGTGCAAGTGTTACAGTGTGTAGTATGTTATCGATAACTTTATTGCGTTCCCTTTCCATCCCCTTTCACCTAGCAGACGACGCTCCAAATAAAGTCACGTCGTCTGTCTCATGGTTCCGCCGCGTGATCTCCCGCGAGTCACGCGCCACAAGGTTACGCAACCTCACCTAGAATGAGGTCAGATCCGAGTCTGACCATTCTTGCCCAATCTTATTTGACCGAATCTATATAGCCGCCTGTTCTCTGTTGATCGCGCGCTCATTGCTGTCCGAAGTTTGTTGCGTATAGTATCTCTACTGTTGAACACGAAATAAAGCTCACTTACCCAATTTGATAAAAGAGGAGTTGAATTTACTTTACCCGGTAACAAGGATCAAGAAATCTCCTCTCAAAGAATTGTCTAAATTAGTTTGGAATATAACTTGCGACGGTAAGTTATACAATTGGAAGATCCAGAGACGTCCGGATTTAAAGATTGTAGAAGATCAAAAACAAACTAGTTTACGACAACAATAAATAAATTTGAATAAAGAAAGACAGATTTCAGTCAAAGGTGCTCAAAAGCTTCATTTGCATCCACCAAGGCAATACAAAACAGAACACATATCACGACTAGATTGGATTCCCTGGACGTCATACATTTTTCAAACAAAAATCCATCATCAGTAAATTGTAAAAACCTTCACATAACATTCATCAAGTACCTTTGAAGAGGCATAAAACACTGGTCACAGATGCCAGTTCACAAGCAAAAGGCACCGCACTGAAAACACCAAATGACCACCAGAACCAGTACGTATCCCACACGTCCACAAGGAAAATTCCCATCGTTATAGCTCCTCCTCCATGGCAAAAAATGGCTATAACAGGAAACCAACCATCCAAATCAGGGGTTTTTCATTCATGAAAAAAATTACGTCTTGTACTTACAAATGACTGATTGCATGGGCAAGAACATAGTGACTCCAAAAAGGAAGGTGACCAGCTCCACACAAATGAATACCAGGGATACTATCAACCCAGCTGACAACCTGTCAATGAGCAAAATGAGTAAAACATCATCAAATGAGGGTAAAATCATGCTTACAGAGAGATATATACAATTATCAAACCCGCAGCCTTCTTTCTTCAGAAAATGAAGCAAAAAATAAAATAAAAGAGTGAGCTTTTCAGAAAAAACAGCAAGATCACTCTTGCAAGAGAACAATTTGGCAAGGGATATGAACAGCAGAGGGATATGCCTTATTAACCGGTCAATTGAGAAAATTCAGGAATTTCTTTAGCAGAATAAAAAAAAATCAGCATAATTGGAAGGCTTACAGTGTCTGTGACAGCAATATAGCATTTCACGATGTACTAAAACTACATTTAGAATGCACTGAAGAATAATAAAAATTTGTCGAGCAAGAAAATGCAGCTTTTCTTTGAGCCAAAATCAAGCCTCTTAGCATTCAAAGTTAAAAATAAATTTCTTCATCCCCCAGAAAATTTAAAAAATGCAGATTTTTTCAAAATTGAAGCAGCTATCACGCTGATGAACTGTGAAGTTATCGCCACTAAAATGTTCGGACTAAATCCTAATTTAAACCGTGATTCAGTTTCAGTATTTTCAAAAAGTGACATTGCTGTTTGAAGAACTATCCAATTTTTTCAACTTTTCATCTGCATTTAAGAATGAAATACTTTTTTCGAAATACCTTCAAATGTACAGTAGTATATAGCTCAACACATGCCACGAAACACACACTCACTCCCTCATCTTGCCATTCCATTCCTCCTCAGTGAAATCCCACGGAAGAGATGCCAGCACATTCGCCTTCTGCAGATGAGACAATATTCAAATTCTTGGCACTTCACACGCAAATACGAATGGAATCCTCACCTTGTCAGACATAGCGGTAACCAGGATGACAAAATGCGCCACGAGTGACAGAAACCGGGACGGCATCAAAGACGACATGGACATTTTCACTCGACACACACATTCATGAACACTCCTGACAAAAGAAACGAAAAAATGACCAAAATCATGAGGCTGCTCATTTCAAAGCAAAAAATAAATAAATAAAAAGACCCAACAACTGCGATGATCCACGCATTAATTCCGCCAACAAAACACGTCAGATAAATTATTAGCTCCCGCACTTGGCCAAAAAAAAAGTCCGCACCAACCCCCACGCCAAAAAAAAACTTCTCGGGGCTGTAAGAATTCGGGCAATGCTCCAAACAAAAACAGCGAGGAAATATCTGTAGCGAAAAAAAAAAACAAACAAAACAAACCCTTTTCTTTTCTTTCTTGCCACTCAATCACAATTTATCAATCTAGTTCCTCGTCAGCAACATCCGGCTGCGGACTCGGGTGACTATTCGACGCGGCTGCTTCAGCGGGACCTTGCATGTCAGACTCATCCGAATCACAAAAATTCTCCATCAGCGAGTTGAAGAAATTCCCTGCAAAAAATCCATGCTTCATGAAATTTGCATACGAGAAAATTTGCGAATAACTGACCGAAAAGTCCTCCTCGCTGCGGATTCTGAGGAGGCCTCACATCGAAGAAGATCTGCGCGATTCTGTCCAAGTAATCTAGGTACGACGGATCTCTATCAAGTACCGGCTGGTACTTGCTTCTCAGTATATGGAAGTAATTCAAACGTTTCCTGAAGAAAAATAAAAAAGCCACATCATTCATTTTAACCATTCAAATTGCGTCCAAATAGAAAACATCAGGGTAAAAAAAAAAGTGAAATCAATCAAGGTGAACGACAGGGGAGCGAATTTAGAAAATGCTAAACGAAAAAGCAACAATGGGAAATTTTCGACCAAATAGAAAAACTTATATGTTAATATAGAAAATTTCAAAATAATTGAGTTCAAGTCTAAATTCATATTCAAGTGTTTTTATTTTTGAAATACGGCAGTTTTAGGAGTCCCAAAAAATAGGGAGGCACGCGTCTTACTCGGGATTCAATTTTATCCGAAGTTTTGACTGAAAAACCCTGGTTCATGCGGTTTTCGAGCAAATTTCTGATTCTCCTCGCTTTTTGAAAGAATTCCGCAGTTCTACTTGAAAACTTGTTGACATTTAGGATTTTTTAAGCCAAAAAGGGATAATTCTTCGCTGCGCGGGTCTATCAATACGCGGGAAAACCCAATGCAAAAATAATTCGCCACATTCAAAAATGCAATACGCACACACTGATGGACACCAAAAGATGCCAAACGAAATTTAGCAGCGGGATTTTGTAAGGCGGTCCCTTGTGTCGCTGCAATTCCGGGTGCGTCTCGCAGTACGCAGTCAGCATACTCTGCGCCAAGTCCGAGTCTTTCATGAGGCACAAGTACTGGAACACGGACTGGGCAATGAACAGGTCCACCTCATGAGCGTAACCTTGCAACACGTGCACCTCAACCAGCATGGTGGCGAAATTCATGCTGTCGCGTGAGCGCAAAAAATGGTACCTCGCAGCCACATAATCCTTTTCTGCGAACACATAAAGGCATGTCTAGAACGAAGCTCACAATCAACGATTACTGATTGAAAAACAAAAGAAAAAAATACATTTTTAAATTTTCTGCTTCTCTTGCAGAGTGAATGGATGTTGCACTTGGCAGCCGCCCTCATCACATTTCAACCATAGATCAGCAGAAAAAGGCCAACACTTCGCAGTACAATATTTTACGAATTTGGGAGACAGTCAAAGAGATATAAAATATTTCCAAAACAGTAATTTAAAAACTCTTCGAAGCGAAATTCGTGCTGTCGTGGGTGATGTTACCCTCGTAAAAAATCAAACTTAAATTTTTACAACTATCTTCCTCCAAGAAACATAATTGCACCCAAAAAAATGCCAAAAGTATCCATTCTAATTTTCACTGACAAGGGTAGACATGAAAAAAAAATCGCGACAAGGAGATTCTCGCTGAAAAAAAAAGAATCGCGAAATGATACCATACCTTTCCAAAGATTCGTAGCAATTTTCGCGTGCAGAACGGGACTCCCCGAAACTGCACCCGGTCTCCCCTTGATTGACAACTTTAAGGCCTTGGCCAAGAAGTTCTGTCGTTCCTGGGTCCCCTTGGCAATGCAGTGATGGAGTCTGCAATCACGTTTCCGATTAGTCGATTAAAACAAAAATCTTTCAAAAATGCCAACAATAAAAAGACTTACTCGGCAACAACGTCCATTTTATCAGCAGGAATCTCTCCCAAGTGTTTCTCAATCGCATCCAGATACAACATTGCCAAATCAGCCCCACTTTCCAACTGGAAGAAAGGTAAATAATAATAAGCTTCAACACATTCATAGATTTCACAGCTGAAAAAGAAAGAAAAAGAAATTGGACCTCTCATCGCATAAAAAAAAATCATCAGAAGTCTTGCAAATCGTGACTATCATCTCCCATTATATTTTTTTCTCTTCAATTCGTTTGAATCAAAGAACAAAAAATCCCTAGCAGATGAGTTATTACGATCATTCGCATGATTACTGAGGTAAAAACCATTTCACAAAAAAAAAATATTTTAAACCAGAGAAACGTGGATGCGCCTTACGCACAGAATTCTTGGCTAATTCTACGCCAAAAAAAATTGAGATGCGTGTCTTAATTGAGCGAATCCGGTAAACAAATTGATTTAAAAATCCAACCAACCTGATGGTTTTGCAACAAATACGTGGCCCCGCTGTGCAACATGCTCAACACCTCGTCCAACTTTTCCGCGGAACAAGTTCTCACGTAAATAGTCCGGTAGATCTGATGGGACTCGTAGAAATTCCGCTCGTCCAACGCTCGCTTCAGTTTGGCCATCAACTTGGCCGTCACGTTTCGCGACCCGCGTTTCGCCATCGCCGTCGACGATGACGGGCTCTCGTCCACTTCCATCACTCAATTTTCCGCGCGGTCTGGAGAAAAACAAATAAATGCAGCATATAAGACTCCATCAGCTCTCACACACAAAAACAAAAACGTGTCGCACGCACTTCTGTAAACACACCAATAAGTCCAAAATGGCATTTTAACCGACCCGTCGTGTAAATAAAAAGCGTCCAAAAATAATTCATGAGCTCTCTCTGGAAACGTAAAAATCAAAATTCCATAAATAAAAAAAAAACACGCTGTGAACCGAGATCAGGCGTCGCGCAATTCTATGCAGGTTATCCGGTTTCCGCAAAACCAAATAAAAACCCTTCAAGTCACGCTAAATTACGAGTTTAAGTTTTAAAAAAGTTTGATGGGAGTTTGGAAACGATCCAAATGAAATTGTAACTTCTCAAACATCAAATCATTCGCATAAAACACGATCTTTCCTAATGTGTACCAGCATGCTTCAAGGAATACGCTGCGTCGCAAACCAGTATAATCAAGAACAATTCATATCTGATCAAGCAAAAAGATAATTTTGATTCACCTCATTTCAGGGTAACAAGTGGAAACCCCTCAAAATCACGGTGAACTGTGAGTTAAAATGCAAGAAAAAAGTGATGTGACTTCGGAAAAGGTTCAAATGAAGTTGAAGCTTCTCAAAAATCAAATCATGAACATAAAACACGATCTTTCGTCTGGTGTACCAGAATTTTACACTATAAGATTCGTTGCAAACTAGTGCACTTGAGTTTTCATTTAACATTATCTCATCCGCATGAAACAAAATTTCAAGAAAACTTTCTGATGTAGTGCGGAAACCGGACAACTCTCGCATAAAAACACAATTCTTTTTTAAACGCGATCGTCAAAAGTTGAGTTTCGCGTTTTGAGAAAATAATCTAAATACTTCGACAATATCAACCACAGGGGGGAGAAATATATCAGTCGATGAGACTTCATTCAGGTCCAGCCTGCTTCAAAACTCCTTTGATCTTTTTGTCGATTCCAAGCAGCTCGGTTTTCATGGCTTGGTAAACGGTTTTCACCTCGTTCAATCGCTTCAGCAGCTGCGAATCAAATTCTTCCTCGCTCAAACTTGGATCTGCGAAGAGCAAAACAAAATTTGTAGGCTTCAAAGTCGAGCAGAATATTTACCCAGGAAAAACCCCGGAAATGGAATTTTACGTACCGACGGGTTCGAAGAGATGCTCATAACCGACTAGGACTTTCCTCAGGTCGACTTGTTTCGGGCCCAAAAGGTTGCTCGCGAAAATCGCGTCGAAATCTGAAAAAAAAAAAAAACAAACAAACGATAATGAAAAACAATCATTCAAAATTTCAACCTTTCGAGAAAATTCCTCAAGTAATCTCGAGCGTCACTAATAGTACTGTATATTCGTTCATCTTCACCATACGTCTGGGGATCTTTCTGCAATACCTTTTCAAAGCCTACACAATGAAGTCGATGCTTTTCTTTTCAACACCCGATTTGCTTTTAAAATTGTCAACAGGTGTCAATTAAATTTTGCTGCGCGTCCGTAGATCGGAGTGAAGTAACACAGGTTTTTATTAATGACCAACGATGCTGAGTTATCATCAGACGCGAATCCGCAATTTTATTTGCCTTCAAAAATTAATCTTTTGAATTTTCCGTAGGTCAGATTATTTCAGGGATTCAAGTGACATCTACAGTACTTGAAGGCAAACAATGACGTATTCGGGAAAGCATGAACAATGAACATAATCGAAGCATTTTCAATAATGGCGAAATATGCATAAGAGATGTATGAAACTAAACATTAAAATACAGCGTTTCTTTCACAAAAACGGATGAACAATTTCAAATCCTTGTTATCATGTTTAACGGAAAACTTTTATTTATTCCTGAAATGACCAAAGCCAAAGAAATTTCATTTTCATTTTACGGAAGAAACGCATTAAAAGAATGATACAATTTTAGATTTTGCTACAACTTCAGGGATGAAATTTGTAAAATTGCATCAATATTAGCAACATTTTTCAAGAACAAGGAGTAACAGTTGGAATCTTAGTTATAGTGTTCAACCAAAACATTTGATTTATTCCTGCAATAACACAAAAGCAAGAAATTTAATTTTTTATTTTACGGAAGATACGAATTTCAAATAATTATAAGATTTTATATTTTGCTTCAAATTCAAGGATAAGATTTGTAAAATTGCATCAATAAAATCAAGGATTATGAAATGTTTTTTGAGTAAATCGAAATAGTAATACTGTACATTAAATAATATGCAATGCTCCTAAAGCAAAATCACATCACACTTTTGATAACATCAGACAAAGATTCGAATTCAGGGGAAATAAGGTATCTTATGAATAAACTAATGCAAAAACATCCCCTTCAAAACGGCGGCCAACATGTCAAAAGATTTTCGAAAGATCAGAAAATGCTTTCATAGGAAATCCAAGAAAAAAAAAAAGTATCTCACCGGATTTTTTTCTGAAAGCTTTCTTGAGAATCTCCAGTGTGGAAGCAGGAGGTCGAACGCGACGCTGACGAGCCAAAATTTTACTCGCCGATCCATTGCTGTCGATTGATTCAGATTCGTCGTCACTGTTCTTTTGTGAATCCAAGCCTGGCTTTTCACGTCGCATCGGCAGCCGAACTACCGGCGACAACGACGCCATTGGTTTTGGCTTCCTCGACACTTGCTGCTGCTCTTGTTGCATCATCGGCGAAGACAACTGTTGCTGGGGTTTCTCGGGAACGGGTTCCTTGACTTTCAGCTCCTCGGCTTCTTCCTTGATGAAGCGACGTTTCCTTGGGATGATCTTGCTTCTATCATCTTCCACTTCCGGCGTTTTCCTGCGCGAAAAGCAAAAACTCTCATGAAAAACGGGCGTTTTTCTCTTCAGAGGATGTCGGAAAAAGAGTCCCATGTTCTAATAATTTTTTCGTTCTTTTCCCGTCTTTCTAGGTTCTTGGTAATTCTTGCATAAACAATTACACTCTCTAATTTCTCAAGAAATGTAGATAAAAGTACTGTACACTGCACTTACTCTTTGACGGGTTTCGGCAACCTGAGAACCGAGTCTTTACTAGTCGTCCTTTCTTGAGACGCCACTTGCAACGTTTGTTGCACTTCCGGTGGTGATTCTTCCTTGACTAATACCGGGGGTGGACTCAAGGGTATCGTTTCCAAGCACAACAACGAGGACTTCTTCGTCTCTTTCACAGGTTCAGGTGGTTGTAAGACGCGGAAAGTAGGCTCTGAAACGGGTTTCTCCTGCAGGGGTTCTTCGAGCGTTTTTTCCGGAACTAATTCCTTCGACGATGATGAATCCTTTACTGGTTGGTCTTTGGGCGGAGATTTTTCTTTGGTGACTTCCTCGGGAGTTTCTTGGATTTTTGGGGGTTCTTCAGGCTTGGGAGCTGCGGCGATGGGGGGATCTGGAGCCGAAACGGGTTCCACGGGCTTGGGGTCTTTGCTGGGTGGTTCAGGAACTGTGGGTTCCTTGGGGGGATTCTTGGGTTCCTTGGGGGGATTCTTGGGTTCCTTCGGGGGATTCTTGGGTTCCTGAGTAATTGGGATTTCAGGTGGCGGAGGTTGTGGTGGGGGAAGAATAAGAGGAGTAGCAACAGCAGCAGCAGCAGAAGAAGAACTCGGTTCCTTGGCTTTTGACGGAATCGGTTCTTTGGGTTTCTTCTCCTTTTGTTCCCGAAGCTTCTTTTCCTTCGGTGGCTCGACCCGCAAAACCCTGGGCTCGACTTTAAACTGCCGGGTTCTAACGACATTTTCCAGCGGTTTCGGAACTGGATCTTCCTTGGGTTTCTTCTCACTCATCAGATCCTTGCCGGTCTCGATTTCTTTCGCATGCATAGGCCATCTTCGAACAGGCATCAGAGACTCTATTCTTGGTACCGGGGTTGCTCGGAACGATGGCCCAGCTCTGGGTTTCAGGGTTCTCACTGGGGGTTCGGGAGGAGAGAGTTTCGCGGGTTCTTTTTCCACTTGTTGAATCGGCGCGACATCCGGAGGGGATTCCGGTTTTTTTGGCTTCTTCTGCTTCTTCTGGGGAGGCGTTTTCTCAGGCTTGAAAGAAAAGACAAGATCGTTTGATTTTTTTTATCACGATGCACAGCAACACTTTCCGCCCGCACACATTCATGAATTTACAATGGCCATGAAATATCTGATCATTTTAATAGAGGTAGACTCTATCTACAACCATGTTATACAACGATTTTCTCGGTTTAACAAGTCCCCTAATATAAATGGGTCTCAAACCACACTTTAGACTTTTAGATGTATTCCACAACGATTTTTTTCTGGTTCTTGCATTTCGTTGCATTGAGTCCACCTGCATAACCTTTTAATCTAAATTCGAAAGACACTCGGAAATACGTTATTTCAATGTTATCTTCACCTATGTACCGAAAATACAAAGTTTTCTGATTTTCCCAGCTTGTGAAAAGATTCATGAAAGCACTCGGAAAACACTGGTGACCCTTGAAAAGTTTCAACCTTTTTTGGGTCTGAAATTAATTAGGTCAAATGCTAGCATTAAATCAGGTTATTAGATTCTGTTCTCATTGGCTAGTTTCCGATTTTTTAAAAGTACTGTTCTGTAGTTCCAGCAAGATTGGCGATTCAGGCGACATCTATCAAAGCTTTGAGAAAGCAAGTAACATGTAACTGTGAATTTACTGTGTTTACTCAAGTACCACATGGGGCAAAAAGATGCGCATCATAGTTGGGTACAAATTTGAAGTAACATTTTTTCAAAATCGGTAACTTTCTCAACACTTGGAAAAAATTTTCCGAATTAATTTCAATAGTATGAAAGGAAAATATCACCATTGCATTTTGGTTTCAAGAGGGCTCGCAGTTGAATTTATACCCACTACAGTTTTTCAAAAATCAGTCTCGAAGTACTAAAACTAAGGTCCACGACTTATGCAACAATGAATCGTTTTCCAAAATGTTAGCAAAAAACATTCTCAGGTGCGCATCTCACTCAAGGACACGTGTTACTCAAGTAAATACAATAACACATTATGCATAAACATCAAACATATGTACCTCAATGTTTCTAAAAAAATCTAACGAACAGTAGAATACAAAATGTTATCAAATATTTGAGTAGCACTCGAAAGTTGCCAAGATTACCTCGGAGGGTTTAACAGGTGCATCTACAGATATGGGCTTCAACGTCACAGCTTCAGGAGCGACAGGTTTTGAAATCGCCTTGCTTTTCGCCGGCTTCGCTGCTGAGTCCGGCTTAGATATTGGTAGAGCGACTTGAATTTTCTGCAAAAAAGGAAAAAAGTAAAATGAAATTATTACCATCACTTTTCAAAATAAACACGGAACAAAAAGCAAGAACTAACTTCTTCCTTGTCGACAGGAACAGCCTCAAGAGTCCACACGTTATCCACAGGCTCTACATTCGGCTTCTTTTCCACTGTTGGTTCAGGAACTGGAGTTGGAATAACCGGAGGCTTGAAGACAGCAGGTGCAGGTGTTGGGGTAACCTGATTTGGCTTTAAAGCAGAAGTCTTTTCTGGGACGGGTTCTTTGGCTAAATTCTTTTTCGCAGGCTGAGGAGGAAGAGGAGGAGGTGGTGGAAGTGGTGACGGATCAGCAGGTGTTGGTCCAGCAGAGGTTGCAGGCGTCAAGTTAAGAGGAATTGGCACAACTGGAGGTTTAATAACCGTAGGCACCTCTGTTGGTTTTGTTTCAGCTTCAGGACGATGCTCAGCCACACTTAGAATCATTGTTCCCATATTGGCACTATAAAAAAAAAAAAAAACAATTCAAAATTGATTCAACGAACTGCGACCGAAATTGTGGCCCTGCAGCGATCTTTCGAAGAAAGAATCCGAATTTACGAGAATTTATTCTTTCACTTAAAGAAGTCGGAACTTTTTGTCAGTTCACGTTCCAAGAAAATCACGTGAAACTTGGGACTGCCAGCGAAAATTTTACACAATAAATCGGCCAGGGAATTGACTCAAGGTTTGAGTTAACGAGGTTTCAACTGTAATACGTTGATAAAAGAATATAATGACTCGCGGATTCTACTTCAATTTTCTTGGAAGAGCCACGATAAAACCATAAGATATTTCAATAATCCATATTTTAGCGTCTACGAAAAAAATCACTCTTCGTCACCGTGATGAAAAAAGCAGAAAAGAAATCATCGAACTCATCACCACCGAGAAACGGTGCAAAACAACTCACATTATGTAACGGGATAATGTAAAGTAAAACTAAATTAAACTGCGACAATATGTGCAATCCACTAAAACTAACAAAATTCAGCTGCTTGACGAAAATAATGAAATAAATCCCAATACGGATTTTAATGAATTGTCTCACGAGAGAGAAATTTCCGGAACACTCCGAATTGAAAATACTAGTAATAAAAAGAAAGTATACTGACACTTGCTCAACAACGGGTTTGACTTCAGGTAATTCTTCCTCCTTCACCACAACGGCGGTCATTTCCGGTCGCTTCTCTGGCGTCGCTTTCCCAGCCCAACGTCCAGCAAATTTAATATCCGGCAACTCTTCCGCATCATCAAACTCATACACGTCATCCGCCGAATTCTTCCCTTTGGCCCCAAGCCCAAGAATGTCTCTTCTCGCCTTATCCGACACTTCCTCTACCCGCAATCGCTTGGCAACTTTCGGCGACTCCGAAGTCGCAGAAACAGGCTTATCCCTTTTGCTCGGCGTCGTCATGTTGTCCTTTTGGTCCTTTGCGGGTTTCGCGGGCTTGGGTATCGCGGGTTTCTTCGCGGGACTCGCGGGTTTTCCGGGTTTATCCAACTTTCGTTTCACCGGCAGTTTTTTCGCTGGCGGTTCTTCAACGACACTTGCTGCCGTCGTCGTCGTCGTTGTAGGCACAACAGCAGCAGCAGTAGTAACAGGAATCGAAGCAGCCGTTGCAGCAACACCCACAACGACGGGTTCCACGGGTGTGGGTTCTACTTGCAGGGATATTTTTCGCTTTGTTCGGGTTTTCGCGGACTCGGCTTCGGGATTCGGGGGCTGACCGACTGAGGGTGAAACTGATAATGAGCGTGTGAGTTGAGGGGCTGAACCGCAACTACCAGCTGAAGCAACAGAGCTCGGGGTTCCCGAACGAGAGCGTGGTTCGCTTTCCTTAGTGCCTTCTTTGGATTCCCGCTTATTCCGAGCACTCAACCGAATTTCTTCATGTTCCATTCTCTGTCGAAAAGAAAAAGAAAAAAACAGATAGAGGTTCAGAATTATAATCTTTTGGAAAAGATACTGTGAGTGTGAAATTGTAAATGTACGTAAAGTATGGGCTTAATATAAATTCAACTAAAAAAACACTGAAACCATAACAGTCGGATCTCGAAACTCGAACCTTCCTACGTCGAATTCTTCTTTATGTCCCTGCCTTCATTCCCTTAGAAATCTCATCAACTCAAAGGCTTTTCTCCTCGAACCTCCAAAACTCGAATTTTCTGGGGGCCTAATTATTTTATTGACACAGAAAAGAGAAAAAGCAGTAAAATGTAACTTGATGCGTTTTGAAACGCCAAATTCGTTTTGAACGAATTTGGCGAGTTGACCAACTCGCCAAATAAACCCTCGCCTCCAAGTTCAGCATCCTGCAAAATCTTTTAAGTAGCAGTTCAAGGCCCAGATTATCAATAATTAAAATTTCCTTTAATTCTTCCTTCCTACCGATAAAAGTGCTCGTTTTTCAAACAAGAAAACCGCCAAAACTCGAATTATTTTGCTGGTCCTGGTCCCTTGAGGTTGAACTTCAGAGTTTCGACTGTTTTCGAAAGTAGCCTTTTCGGAGTACAGTACAGCGCTTCAAATACTGTACAGTATTACAAAAGTACCTTTTTTACACTCGCCGTTATCGAAGACGCACAACATTGTTTTTGAGACGAAATTTTGGAAAAAATCAGATCCCCGCGAACATTAATTTCTATGAAACACATTCCATGATAGTTCCTTCTAAATCAATTTTTTTCAGCTCAGGAAAAGGAAGATCGGACAAAATTAGTGAAATTAATACCGATGAATGCAACTTAGATGCAATTTTTTTTCTCTCCTCAAACTCAAATCTCATTCATACTACTGTACTATAATTACTCACTGGAGGATTTCTTCCTAGATGTTTTTGTGCTGAAGGATGATACGCGCTAAAATTTAAGAAAATTTTGCCGAAACACGCAACAAGCGTTTTTTTTTCTTTCAGCAATTGTGAAAATAAAATTCATCTAAAAGGCATTTTCTGTTCCCCTAAATTTCGTTGTGAAGTGTCCACTAGTATTGTCGCATTATTTGTGATCGTGCAGAACAGACCCAGAGGTACAGCACTTTAAGTTCAAGTGAGCAATTCAAGCTGAAATATTGACAGACAGTGGAAATCTACCCCTTACAAAAATTGAACAAATACAGCGACAGAGAAGGTGTTAAAATCAATTAAATTGATTTTAAAATGTTTTCAATACATTCAGGATTTCGGCAATCCCCAACTTACCGAGCCAAGACTTCGTCCTCTTCTCGCAGACCTCGGAGCAGAGCTCTGATTAGGAAATGGGTGCGTGAAATTGGCGATGATTTGTCCGCGAGAAACCCATTCGTCCCATCGAACATTCCAGCCAGTGTAGTGCACAAAATACTCCCTCCCTTCACTATTTGACGTCCGGTCTTTCAAAACCTTTTTTTTTTTGGTAAAAATTTTTGTTATTCAACATCCAAAAACTCCCCGTATAAAACCAATTGTATTTCGATTTACCTTTGCTTCGTATTCCCGAGGCCGAGCCGATGGATCACGTTTCTTGTTCCCGGGGGATAATCCGCCCAAAAAGAGGACCAAAACTTTGTCCCCGACATTCACGTCGCCTTCAGTCTCAAGCCTATAACAAACACATAAAATAAGAGCATGCATCGTATACAGTTGAACCTCTTCAAGTCGAATTTCAAGGGACCAGTAGAACAATTCGAGCTAGAGAGGTTTCGAGTTCGGGAAAAAAGCGTTTTTGTCGGGGGAAATAATTACAGAAAAATTGTAATTGGTGATATTCTGGGCCTTGAATTGTTTTTTGAATGAGTTGACAGGATGCTGATCTTGGAGAGAAGGGTTCGTTTGCCCAATTAGTCTTTCAATTTACAATATTTCAGAACACATCAATTTGAATTTTTATTGCTTTTACCACTCCTGTGTCAATAAAATAATAGCCAAAAGACTTCCAGAAAATTCGTATGATGGAAGTTTGAGAAAGAAAACTTTCAAGATATGGAGGATTTTAATGCATCTTTCCTACGTGAACTCATACAGGGCCTTGAAAAAAAAAAAAAAATCGGCATAGCGTGATATTCGACTCAAAAGGTTCCAGTATAAACGGTCTCAAAATTTTGCATACAATTCAAATCTTTTTCCACAGACCTTCTCGTAGGGGTTCTCGGGGGTTCGAGAGAGGGTTCTTCAAACACAGGCTCCGGTTTCTTCTCAACCACTTCAGTCTTCTTCTCGTCCACTTTCTTCGAACTCGGGGTCTTCGAATCCTCACTCACCGACGCAACGGACGATTTCCGAGACTGAGATTTCACAACAACCGGAGGCACGGGTTCTTCCTTCTGTTCCTCCTCGGCTTTGGCCCTTTCTTCTTCAACTTTTTTCCCAGCTCGCGTTTGTGGAGACACTTCTCGGGAACTATCTTTTGAGTCAACGAGCTTCTTCCTTCCGCGCTTTTTGGCTTCCACCTTCGGGGTTTCAGTTTCCGATTCCGCGGGTGTTGAAACTGGAGTCGGTTCCGGTTTAGACTGTTTCGGAGTGGCGGCAGCCTTCGCAGCGAAAAGACCACGAGACTTTTCCGCACCTCGGACAAGACTGCGAGCAGATGAGTTCCGACGACCTCGAGGAGATGCGAGAGTGCAACCCAGTTTCCTATTGAACTCTTCAAACCCCTTCAGGTGGCGTTTGTAGGCTTGTTTAATCTGAGTGACGCCGCTTGCGGAGGACGACGAAGGGAAGCCCATGCTTTCGTGCACTTGGCGCCACTGGGAGTTGTTGTTCACTCGGTTGAAGCCACCGAGTTTCTTCACTATCTGAAAATGAAAATACGGTCATGTATTTCAACTTAACAAAAATTTCTAGGACGTTACCAACTTCATATTTATGTGTCTGGGACATACTTAAATTTTTGAAAAGAGAGGAACACAAGTTATTTTATTTGGTGCCAATTATAGTGCATTGAAATCTGGTTATTTCTGTAAAATTCCCCAGAGGGATTCTGTAAAATCAAGCAGAAGTCACCTTAATCTCAAACCCTCGCCAAGTATTTATTCAGAAGATTTAAAAAATGCAGTCGACACATGTGAATGTAAAATATTAAATTCGGGTGCAAAAAAGAAGAATCCAATGTCTTCAAATGAAACACGGAAGAAATCACTGCAAAAATTTCCGTGAATTCCTATTCATATGCTTTTTGCAGTACTGAACAGCATGTTCAGGCAAGTACTGAAGAAATTCAGAGCGTACTCTACATACAAGTATGTGAATTACGTACCAGCCCGGCGATATAAAAAATGCAATTCAGTATTTCAGTCAATCCCAGCCCTTCGTAATTTTTATACGGATTCACTGAATTTGGCATTGGTAATTTGGCATTTACCTTGTACAAACGATGCAAATCGAGGTCCATAGAGCCGATCATAGGTGGTTTGTTCATCGGTGTGCCGCGATCATCCATGTACTTGATCAACTGCGCAATGAAATAATCCTTCTGCTCTCGAGATTCGTTGTCGGAGACCTGAACACAAACATTCATCATCATTCAATTCAGATTTGGCGACAAAAATCCCAAGAAAATGAGAAAAAATGGATTCCAAGACGTATCTTAAATTTAAAACTAAACCTAAATATAGTAAACTTTATTTTCAGTGAACATTAGCGCAAATGATAACGTGGTAAGAACGCAATGTTTCTCTGAAAATACTACACGGAAGTCTCTTTACAGCGCATGTTTTTCTGGTCCCCTGTATTTCGTTATACAGAGAGAGAGAGAGACCATCTGTACTCATAAAAAATGACCAAGATATTTCAAAAACGTCCACATTAAATTGTCATTCCTTTATATTCAGTCCAGCTCACTCATAACAATCATCTTACATTCTCCAAGAGGGTAATTCGGAAGTTAATAACCACAAAAACATTAGAATTTAACGAAAAAATTTAGAAAACTAGTTACGTTAATAAATTTCGTAGTTTAAAAATAATAAGTACTTGAAAAGATTTATTTGAATGGAGCAACAAAAACAAGGTGCGGCACAGTTGAACTTCCGAGGGACAAGATGAAAATTGCAGGAAATTGTGATGGGTGGTATTCTGGGACTTAAATTACTTCTTAAAAGTTGGAAGAGCTTACAGGATGCAGGACTTGGAGGCAAGGGTTTACTTACCCAATTAATCTTTCACTTCCTGTTTGTTTTTTTCATTTTTTAACGAAGTTACATTTTTCCTGCGTTCTCTTTCCTGTTTCAATAAAGTAATAGCCAAAAACCCTCAGAAAATTCGATTCACAGAGATAAGAGGGGGAAAGCCTGCGAGTAAGGGAAGTTTTTAATGCAATTTTTCAAGGGTATTGAGACAAGGACTTGAAAAAAATCGACATAGGGAGTTTTGGATAATCGAGGTTCAAGTGTACAACGGAATCCAGCGACACTCACATCACTATTGGAAGAATCCCGATCAGAAATCATGTCTTTCCCGAAAAGCACATCACGATCCCAGTGGGGCGGAAGCTCGTCTTTGTCCAGGTACAAAAGCGCTTTTTCCACAGCGGCTTTCAACGTTGAAGTCTCCACCTTTTCGCCGACTTCGCGAGAAAACCTTTGAATCTCCTTATTAGGTACGGTGTAATATCGTCCATCTTGAAAAGATCGCACGAGACACTCAGAAGACACTTTGATTTTGACAGTATCCTGCGCAGTTGGCGCCACAACGAGACCCGGAATCCAATTGTCCTTTTGGCGCTTCTTGTCGCCCAGAACGATACAAACGACTTGACCAACAGACGGGGCCTTTTTCGGGTACGATTGTCCACGTTCGTCATCTTCTGATGAAGAGTCTGAAGAAGAGGACGGGGGTTCTGGTTCCGGACGTCGACTGCGACGCGTAGAAGCGGATTGCACTGGGGTTCCGAAATGCTCGGGATGTGTTAAGGGTAACTGGTCTAGAGTTTCTCCTTCCGCGAAATGGCGCCCAGATTTCAGACACAGTGCGGATCTGCGAAGCGAGTTGATGTCCCCGTCGTCAAAAACTAAAAATCGAAAATAAAATTCATTCATCGAAAAAAAAAACTTTTCAATACAAAATTTTTCAATCCACTCTCATTTTCAGCATTCGTTAGGCTCAACCTGTTCGCTCATCGCACTGGAAGCCATGAGAATGCGAATATGCGTCGCTGTCGCGAGAAAAGCACCCAGTACAATGAATATCGACGTAAAATTAAAAAGGACAGAAGAAAATGGATTACGACACGTAGATCGTGCAGAACGCACAACAAAAACATAATTTACAACACATGAATCGTATTTCATAAAAAAATACAAAATTATGCTACTTCTATGATGCTCAAAAAATAACTTCAAGTTTCGAAAAGAAAACTTCATCCCTCAAAAGTTAAAACAATTGCTGAGTGCTTCTCCGTAGTACTTTTCGTATGGGCAACTTTTTTCGGACAAGTATGCGATAAACACGTCCCTTTTGCTTCCACTCCTCTGATCACAATCTCGAAGCTTACCAACTGTATACACGCTACAATCCTTGAGTTTCGTGATGGTCCCATCAGTCCAATCTTTCTGATTTGGAAGCTTCACTTGAACTTCTTCACCGACCTAACAGTCAGAAAGGATTGTTAAAATATTGAATTCATTGCAAAAATAAATGCAGTGTACAGATTCTCACCAAGAGTTTTCCACGAATATTTTCTTCATTCAACGTGTGACTCGTGCCACCGGATTTCAAAGCAACCTTGAAAAAATTGGTACATTTATTCCGGGAAATGTGTTTAGAACATGTATGAACCTTACCACAGCCTTCACATTCCTGGCAACTTTCCGGATCTTGGCTTCGCAGAACGCTCCTTTGTACTTCGCACTTACTTCTGTCCCCACCGGTAACAGTACTGGATCGTCTCGCTGCTAGGAACACAGAAAGCAAAGATGAATGAGAAGAGTATTGCATAGCAATTCGCTTTCTATATAGCTCACCATGATGTACAATCTTGAGAAGACGACACGAAATGTTGCTACACCATGGCGAGAGAACTCAGCTTCCAAAATCAGTCCGATCGAGACTGCGATCACCAAAATCCTGCATAATCAAAAATTGAAACTTCGCTCACGTTCTCGGCCACACGCACGGGATCGAAAGCGCACTAAAAACAAAAGTGAGGTATTGTATTTTCAATGCCACTGCTTCCGATCCAAGCGTCAAGAATCCACTTCCGCGAAGCACAGAGATCAAAGAGAACTTCATTCTTCATTTAGGATCTCTATAAAATCTGGACAAACGGAGAGCTGAGCCACTAGGTATACAGTATTTCATCGTGAATGTCTCGGAGATCCTTCCGGACTTGCTCTTGGTTTAGATTCACGCTCGGTTTTCCATGTGCAGTGCAGTTTTGTACCTATTTGTACAGTACAGTACTGTATTTCGTTCTTCCAGGGTATACACGGTGAAAGTAAATATACAGGAGCACCATTATTGTAAATATTCTAGAAAAATTACGCGTATCATCCCATGAAAGCAATACGAAATTAATTTAATGACAGAGCATTGCAATTTTAATGCTGCTTTCCATAATTAATTACTTACCGTGCTTTGAATAAACAGTACAGTACAGTATAGGATTAGCAAGGTAGAGCACATAGTGATGCTGATTTGTTAATGGGGCAATGTTAAATAAAAGTGTTGTCCCTGTCGAATAAGGCGAATCGTTTCCACTGGAAAAAGCAGTCCTTTAATCGTGAAATGCAGTTGTTCGGAGCATACAAGTAAAGTATGTAACTATACAGCATCAATCAGTTTATGCAGAAAGCCACTGAGGGACAGGCATTCACGGTACAGTACTGTACTTCAGCTTGTGCCATACTAGGATCACTTCTGAGCTATGCGGCAGTCGTGAACAAAATGGAAACGCGTCCCTGGGTTTCGGAACGTCTGGTTGCGAACTGGCGTTTTAGTGCGGGTAGTGATCGGTCTATGACGAGTACATGGATTTGATAATGTTATATTTGGCGTTCATTTGTGAAGTGTGCAACGAAGTGATTTTTATCGGTCATGGGTGCTGAGCAAAGTGTGACACAAGGCCCTTTTCGGAAGCGCAGTCGATCTTTGGATCGTCACGATGGAACATTATCACCACCTCTATCCATTGCATCTGACGTGGATGCCCCATACATGTCATCAACGATCAACAGACCCATCGGAGGTATTTCACAAATTTCCGAGGATGTTACGAGGTATTAACGATACGTTTTCCAGACTCACCGAAACGACAATCTGCGATTCTCTCCAGGGCGAGAGGTGCGAAAGATCTCGTTAATTTACGTGCTGTGAAAGCGGACCGACGGAGAGTGTCACAGTTTCCTGAAGAAATCACCGTTGTGAATCTGTCAGTGGACCCGGGATCTGTTCGCAACGAAGTTGCCAAGGAAATAAAACGCTTCGAAGTAAGCCTTTACTTCGGCCAACAGCTGGTGGAAATTCTCATGCGTTTTATATTCAGGACATACCGCAGTTTTTACCAATTCTTCGTGGCGCTCTGAAGGGCTCTCTCTTCGGCCGGAGTAAAAGTCGCGACGACTTGGCATGCATGGAGAAAATTGACAGTCGTCCTATGTTGAGCATGGCTCGAACATGTCTTGAATTCATGACCCATAATGCTTTGAACACAGGGTCTGAACAGAGCCGTGTAATGTCCAAAGTCAGAGATGTGAGTACCGTCAATGAATATCTTACGAAGTTGGAATTCATGCGAAATTAATGTAGGTTGCGGGTCGGACTGAAGCGCTTCTCTCGACATCATCGGAGCGTCAAAGGAAATACTCCAAAATAGCAGAAGGTTTATCTCACGTCAGTGAAATCTCGCGTGTGTTGCGTAAATGTCACAACTGTTTAGGTGAAGTGATTTCGTTATTGCAAACTTTGAACGACTTACTTCCTGAGGATGAGAGGCTTGAACCGTTCGACTGGATTAGTAGCGGGGAGGATCATGCGTGATGCAGTCATTCCCTCATGTTTTCAAAGGCTGTGCGATGGATCTTGTCAGATATAGAACCTTCCTGATCGCGAGTATTTTCAAGCTCATGGTTTTTCACGCCCTGATACTTTTTTCCAATACTGAGAAATCCTTTTTTCCCCTTTGTGCAGATGAGTGAATTGTCTGTGGAAGAGCTTCGCGCGCGCGTCGCTGAATTAGAAGTTCAGCTGGAAGCCACAAAGAAGGATTCATCTGAGAAGATGCATCGTGAGAAGATCACGTCAATGTCGGATGAAGTCGTCGACAGTAATCCGTACAGGTACGTTTTGCATGAGTAAGGAAGCCTCAGAAATTTATCTGGATGACTCCGGATCTCGGAAGGAAATCTTTTCCGATTACAGTGGGATTTTCATGGTATGAACAGGTTGATTACTTCCTTTTTTCAGCCGACTCATGGCGCTGAAACGCATGGGAATCGTGGAAGATTATGCCAAAATCCGCTCATTCACGGTCGCCATTGTCGGCGTCGGAGGAGTGGGAAGCGTTACTGCGGAAATGCTCACGCGTTGCGGCATTGGGAAGCTCATCCTTTTCGACTATGACAAAGTCGAGTTGGCCAACATGAACCGCCTTTTTTTCCAACCTCATCAAAGCGGCCTGTCCAAGGTGGACGCCGCGGCAGCCACGCTTCGCTTCATCAATCCGGACGTGACGTTTGAAACGCACAACTACAACATCACGACTGTGGACAACTTTGAGCACTTCATGTCGAGGATTGTATCTGGAAGTCTGACTGACGGGCCCGTCGACCTGGTTCTCGGTTGTGTGGATAATTTCGAGGCGAGAATGGCGATCAATGCCGCGTGTAATGAGAAGTACCAGGTTTGGATGGAGTCTGGAGTGTCGGAAAATGCAGTTTCTGGGCACATTCAAACTATCATTCCCGGAAAAACTGCATGTTTTGCGGTGAGTTTTGCATTTTGAGCAAGCTACCGTATTGACTCAGGAATAATACCATCAAGTAAGGCGAATGCCTGAAATTTTCAGCTTGAAATCTGGATGAAATTATATCCCCCAGAATGACAAGCTCCTCTTTTTCAGTGACTGTAAATCGCGATATTTTGAAAATGAGATGCTTAAAAATTTTAATTTTGCCTTGAATTGTAGCCGAATTGAATGTCAACTTTCTAGTGCTCCCATTTTTTGGAGCGTTCGTTGGACTTAAGTATGAGGTGAACCAAAGCTATGAAAAATGTATAGTAGTACCCGTCCATGCCTTGCACTCCCGTTTTTTGCCTGTGTATGTTGAAGAAAAGGTGCGCACGACACTCGAGTAAATATGGTATTTGACTTTTTACTTGCACAAGATCATGAACTGATGTGTAATCAAGTATGCGCTAAGACCTTTATTTCTATCTGTACTCGATTTTAAATTTGCGGTAACAACGCCATAATTCCGTTACAGTGCCTTCCTCCTCTGGTGGTTGCTTCCAAAATCGACGAAAGAACCCTGAAGAAAGACGGGGTTTGCGCAGCGAGTTTGCCCACAACAATGGGTATCGTCGCCGGATTCCTGGTTCAAAATTCCTTGAAATACCTTTTGAACTTCGGATCTGTGTCCGACTACGTTGGATACAATGCACTAGAAGACTTCTTCCCGAAAATGTCGCTGAAACCTAACCAACAATGCGATGACTCTTTCTGTCGCCAAAGACAAGAAGAATATCAGCAACGCTGTCAGAATGATCCAACTGTTACCGATGTGGTTTCTGCAGAAACTGAAGCTATTGTTCATGAAGATAACGACTGGGGTGAGTTGATCTTTAACGCGTGTCTGAGTTTCCAAGATTTCAAGCATTGCACGTTGGTTTTTCAAAAAATATCCTCGTATCTCGAAACTCTGATATAACTTAGGTATGTCGTAAGAGAAAATTCTTCATATGGGCATTATATTTCTCGGGTCGACAAAGTATAATTTTTATTGCCGATCGTACTTGTGCGCCCTTCAGTCGCATTTTTTCAGGTCCTTTTCATCGCCACAGTTCTCAATTTTATTCTAATCACGTGGAAAAGCTGATTTATTTCTGAATTGTCGTCAGGAATTTGTGTGGTTGAAGACGATTCAGCGCATGACGTCGAAGATCTGCATGCCGGGGACGGTGTCAGATTCCAGTACACGAAAGAGGAGTCGAAAGTGAAAAGCCACGAAGAACCACAAGAAGAAATCGAAGAAAGTCTGACGGATCTAATGGCTAAGATGAAATCTCTTTAACCTTCTGGTGTTAGGAAACCGAAACTGATTGACAACACGCGTTGTACATCATTCCAAAGATACCATATTGCAAACGAAACGGAATGTCGGGGGGAGAGAACCAGGAATTATTTTGCCGAATCTACTGGAAATTGTTACTACTGGAGTTTATTTTTTAAATTTTCGAGTGTTGTGTATGGACGCTTGAATGAGTTGTTTTCTTTTATATACTTGCCGTGTTCTAGTGAACTCTTGAGTCTTATTTTCATTTTTGAGTGGTGAATATCATCAGTGAACCCGAAGTAAAATGGAAAACGATGCTGGAGAATTCGTGGACTTGTATGTCCCCCGCAAGTGGTGAGTTTTCTTGCGAAAAATGAGTGTGGTTTTCTGTGACAATTACTCTTCCATAATAAATGCCTTTAAATAGCTCTGCAAGCAACAGGATCATCCATGCCAAGGACCACGCCTCAATTCAAATCAACTTCGCTGAGGTTGACGAAGCCACCGGTGTCATGACTGGAACATACAAGACCTACGCCATTTGCGGCAGCATTCGTCGCATGGTGAGTGTGGAGAAAACCTTCAACTCATGCACAGCTTCAGAGTTTTTAAAATAATAATCAGATCGTAATTTTTTTTTATTCGTCCCCAGACTGCGTTGGAAATCAGTTACACGTGTTTAAATCGAAATCTAAGGTGCAAGAGAGGAATTGCAATTTTTATTTATTTACCGTCTTAACATGGGTTCCTTCTGGTGTCCAAGCAAGGTTGTGCGTCAGAATTCTTCAGAGCCTTGTGGGGAAAAATTTGTCAATTAACTGTTCAGTTTCTGATCTGTAAACTCCCGTTTTAGATGTCTTTAAATTATGAAGGTGTGGGTTTTTTCTTCAATCATCCAAGAGTAATTTTAAGCATATGCTGTACATTTTTTGTCTTGTTCGTTCCCAGGGTGAGAGCGACGATTGTTTGACTCGCCTCGCGAAGAAGGACGGCGTCATCGCAAGAAACTTCTGAAAGACTCCACCGCGGAAACGTGTTTTGTTTTCGGTGATGTGTTTCACGGAAGAGTCTGATTAAAAGCTGTCCGGAAAAAAAAAACTTGAGCACTTTTATTATTATTTTTTTAATCAATTCAATAAAATTGCGTTCAATTCTTGGCGTCATGTTAGCTTTTTTTTTCGCAGGAAATTCCAAAGAGATGGGATGTTGGGGAAAACTGGTGATCCTCTTCTTCATTTCTTTGGGACTCACGGATGGGATCCACAGCAACAACTGGGCGATTCTTGTCGACACTTCGCGGTTCTGGTTCAATTATCGTCACGTGGCCAATGTCCTGAGTGTGTATCGCAGTGTGAAACGACTCGGGATCCCGGACAGTAGGATCATTCTCATGATCGCCGACGATATGGCGTGCAACCCGCGGAACCCGAGCCCGGCCACCGTTTACAACAATGCCATGAAGCACATCAATGTGTATGGCGATGACGTGGAAGTGGATTACCGGGGCTACGAGGTGACCGTGGAGCACTTCTCGAGGTTGTTGACTGGACGATTGCCGGAGTCGACGCCGAGGTCCAAGAGACTGTTGAGCGATGAAACTTCGAATGTGTTGGTGTATATGACTGGTCACGGTGGGGACGGGTTCATCAAGTTTCAGGTTGGTGTTCGAGATTTGAGCTGGCGGAATGCGCAAAAGGAGTTTTTGAACCCCCATTTTTTTTTATAATCTTGTCACTTTCATGTGTGTGAAAGACTCTCCTTGTAGCTGACGTTTCTTTTTATTGGCTGCAAATTCAAATTTTTGACTGTATTTCCTTCTACTTCTCAAGACATTTGACTGTATTTACTTCAGTGGCAAGCGTACTTCCTAAAATTTTGAAATGAAAGAGTTTTTCTTGATTTTTGGAATAATGGTATGATGGGATTTTTTCTGGTTGTTCCAAGAATCATCATGTTTTACCCTGATTTGTGTGTAATTCAAGTGATCATAGAGCACAGTACTAATCGTTGGAAATACTTTCAGGATGCGGAGGAGATCACGAGTGTGGAGCTTGCGGATGCCTTTGAGCAAATGTGGCGGAAAAAGAGGTACCGACAACTTTTATTCATCGTTGACACTTGCCAAGCAGCCAGTTTGTATGCCAAAATCCGTGCGCCAAATATCCTTGCCATTGGATCCTCGCTCGTTGGAGAAGACTCTTTGTCGCATCACGTTGACCCCGACATTGGCGTGTACATTATTGACAGGTTTGTTCTCGATTTAAGTGTGGAAAGGCAGTGATGAGTTATGTTGGCCATTCCTGGGGAAACATGGCATTTTTTTTGCAGTTGAACCTTGCTCAGGTGAACATCCCCTGTGTTGATTTTTTTTCAAGTTATTCAGACACCTGTTTTTTTTTGTAATTATATTTCTTTGCGTATTGTTTTTTTCAGGAGTAGTTACGAATAATTGAGGCGGTTCACAGAAGAAAAAAAAAAAGATTGATTGTATATAATGTTCGCCGGTTCTTCATCTTGTTTTTTTTTTTTTTTTCAGGTACACGTATTACTTGTTGGAATTCCTGGAGGGACTAGGGCCGGGTTCCAACCAGAGTTTGGCGGATTTGCTGAAGGTGTGTCCTCCGAGGGACTGCATTTCGACTGTCGGGGTCCGAACTGATCTCTATCCCGGTGACTTGTCCCGAACGAAGGTGACCGAGTTTTTTGGATCCGAACGGAGGATCGAGTTCACTGCTGAAACTGTGGATTTACCGGATATTTGACTTGAAAATTGTAGTTTTTTTTTTGAGCGCGTCACCTGGTTATACAGGTGGATGTTTTTTTATAAATCTATTGGTGGCATTGATAAACGTTGTGATCATTGAAGTTGCGTTATTTAAATTTTTTAATTTGTCGTAGCGTTTTGTTAATGCAACCTAATCATGGCGATGAGGTGTCATCGATGAATTCTAGCTTGACGGCCACTATCCCAAAGGTATACCGAGTTTAACCCTGTTACTCGGATGTAAGCTGCATCATTTTCCAACCACAAAAAAAGATCCTATACAGTGGTTCACCTGCCATGAGAGGTAATTTTTGACGTTTGAACAAAATACAGTACAGTACTGAAATTACAGTATGCGGAGAATTGAAGTATCAATGCGTAGGTTTTTTGGTGCCATCTTCAACCTTGTGGTAGCGACGTATCCCTGTAATCGAGGCAATGAAATTATGACCCAAAGGTAGGTTTAACAGGCCCCTGTTCGACTTCCCTTTGTTTTTCTTCCAAATTTCTCGTTTTCTCTCGTTCTATTCTTTTCTGTCCGTCACGCAATACTAATTTCGTGTACAGCAAGTGTAAGCTGCACTAGTCCAACAAGGCTCATAGAGTAATGGAAAGCCAACAACTGTAGCACTGTGAGATCTTTTAAGGCCAAAAGGAGCTGTGTACGCATACGTGAGAACGCATTAGGAATCACCACTATCCCAAGTGGACCTGCATATACAGTACAGTACGATTTACTGTAGTACTACGCAGAGCAGTAGTGTACTGTATATGTACTGTACTGAACTAATGAAGCCTAGGCTCTATGGATTGATCAGGTCGTGCTGCAAGAATACTGTCATGGCGGTATACATCCGTCCAGTCTTCACCAGGATTGTTCACGGAATTATGGGGACTTATTGAAAAAGGAATTGTGGTTCTCGGTGTGCACTGCTTGATTTGAGTGAATTTTGATAGATTCATCGTGATTTGAATCGTTAATAATTATATCAGTGTTACATGATTTTGAGTACCCGAAACCATTATGACGCAATGACTGGAAATTAACAGATCTGTTCTTGCGTTACAACATAGCGGAAGGATTTTGAAATACTGTATTTGTGAAGTGGCGCTACGAATCGCCAGACGTGAAAATTCACGTGGTATAGGTAGGATATTTGAGGTGAATTTGTGTGCAGAAAGCATATTTAATTGTTCACAGAATAATCGCTTTCATTATGGGGAATACGCGCCGTTTCTACATGCGTTTTTACTTGAATGACATGGATAACTGTTCGAACTCTTACTGTACTGTCGATTTCTAAATTATTCCCAGAAAAGAAGTTCCCTGCATCAATGTACGTTATTACAAAACTTACGTCATGGATCGGGCGAAACCCCCCTCCCCCGTTTTTTGAGTTCGCAGTGTCGAAATGTCAGATGTGTGTCAGTGTGTGATTTTTTTTTCAGATTTCTGTAAAAATTTCGATTGGTGTACAGAAGGATCATCTTTAAAAATTTCGAATTGATTTCCAAATCCGTCGGCATGCACATGCATTGAATAGATTAAATTAATGTGCGACGTAAATCGTCGAACGCCGCCCGGAAGTCTAGTATACTCACCGTATCACGTTAATTCAGATGTGAAAAGAATGTAACTTCGAGGGTTGCCGAGGGGGGCGAACCTCAGCATCAATTCATCCCCATAATTCTATCGATCTTTATGCCGTATTTACAGTGCTGTCTCGTGCATAGGAAATGTTTGAATGAATAATGCCGAGTTTTCCCTGCATTTGGTAACGCATTTTCTGTTTGCAGGTCGTGGTCTCGCGTTCGTTTGTTACAATAGCTGCGTTCTTGGCTTGCGGACGTGAATGAGCATGGTGAGTGAGTTCATGGATCGATAAATGCGCGTTGAGCGAGTGTTCCAAATCTCTGAGCTTATCTCCTTTATAATACCGTATTTATTCGAGCGTGAGGGCAAATTATTATTCCTAATTAGGACTGAGAACATCGGAGTGTGTCTTAGGATCGATGGCATACTGGAGTATGCCAAATGATTGTGTACGGTTGCATACACAATCACTGCTGAAGCATTCATGCATTGAAAACCGTTTGATCGAGTTCGAATCGTGGTCTGAAATGAAATTTCAAAAGTTATGCTTCACATGGCGAATATGTAGCGTTTTTTGGTCTCATGGTGAACCCAAGTGTTGCAAGGTTGATTTCGAAATAAGAAGGGAAATAACAGCGATCCAGCATCTACAGTTTGTCCCTGTGATGCATCCTTTTCATTCGAAAAACGATTGTGATCGATTGGTCACCCTGTAAAGTGTTTCCGGCTTTTTTATGGTTACATGGCAGAATTCGTTCACCAGTGAAGCATCTTCGGAAGGATGTACGAGCTATTTTTTCATAATCGGAGCTAAAAGCAAACGTAACATAACCCAAATTGACATCATCGAAACGCTTGGCGTAAACCTATGAAAACGAAATTTGTAAATGTCATTGGTCATTGTTTTTTTACGCGAAGAATGAAAAGCTCTGACCTCTTTTATTCGAGTAAATGTGGTAGTACAGTACAAATCCTGGGGAATGAATAGATGAAATTGTCAACGTGGTTTTCATTTGAGGTGTATCATTTTTATTTTTGTGAAGACATCTTTTGGTGCCGATGATGAAGACGAAGGGGCATATGGAAGCAGTTACCTCGGAAACTCCTACTCGAAATCGGCGGGATTCGGGTACGGACCGGAAGTTGACACTGAAACGGATGCCGGAGGTGAAGATGCCATTAGTGATTCGAAACCCCGGATATTGCTGATGGGTTTGCGGAGAAGCGGGAAATCCTCTATTCAGAAAGTGGTGTTCCACAAAATGTCGCCGAACGAGACTCTGTTTTTGGAGTCCACGAACAAGATCAACAAGGAAATCGTGTCCAATTCCTCGTTCGTCCAGTTTCACATCTGGGATTTTCCGGGTCAAATAGACTTCTTCGACCCCACCTTTGATCCGGATACGATTTTCGGGGGCTCTGGAGCCGTGATTTTCGTGATTGATGCTCAGGTGAATAATTTTGGGTTGGGCTTCGAAAAATCGCCAAGCAGTGAATGGGAATTGAGTGCTACCGTATAGTTTCTGGAACCACTATGTCGAATTCTATGGATAGTTCATCAATTTCAACCAGTTCTGTCGAATCTATGTTCTATCACTAATCATCCTCTGCTTGAATATTATTGTTAATTTTTGAAACTGGAGTATAAAAAATAAAAATTTGTTGAAAATAACAGATCGAAGTGTTTATCCTCATATTGTAAAATTCACGAATATTTTAACAAGGGACTGAAATGGTTTTGAAACTTTCCCCAGAATGTTTTTAAGTTCTCATTATTCTTTCGAATACCTGTGTTTTTGTGCAAGAATCCAAAAATAACCACATATGTTTCAGATTGCCGCAATTGCACGTAGACTCTCCCTGCAAAACTTTTTTCTACAAATTTCTCTGGGCAATAATTTTTGGCATTGTGAGGGTTCTCCACGATACAATTTTCTCGACACGAAATTTTTTTTATCCCTGAATTTCTCCTGCAAATGATCGCATTTGGATTTTGGAAAGTATTGGCCTGCAGGAGTGACCTCTATGTAAAGGCTGTCACATCAACTTCAATTATGCAAGGATGTTCTTATGAACCAACAGTAAGATGGCGTTGAAAGCTTGTTATGCGTTGCAATATCCAAGTGAATATGGGCCTTTTTCCATTCTGTCATTTTTTAAAGAGGGAAACGGAAAAAAGCCGCCAAAAAATCAATTTCAAAAGGGAAAATTTAGTTCATGGACCAAGTTTCTCCCAAAATTTGGAGAACAGACTTGTTTGGGAACTTTCGTCCCTATAGGGCACAGTTGAAAGACCTTCAGATGAAGACACGAAGTGAATCTTCATTTGTTTAATGTTATCTCACTTGAAGCATTGATCTTCTTGTTTAGACATTTTGTTATTTTGATGGATTATAGGCCACATTTTACGACTTCAGTGTGGCCTATGAACGAATATTGTACCCCGAGTTTTCTTGCGCGAGATTTGAAACAAAAATGTGTCCCATATTCCCTTAATGATGTATTACAGTACTGATTATTTTAAAAATACCATAGCTTAAAAGAGATCTTCTGTTTCATGATGATTGCAATTTGACAACATTTTCGAATTACTGAATCTGATGTGCACATTTATTGGCATGTTTTGAAACAGAAATGTAAGTATTCGCTTACATTTAATGCCGTATTTTTACAAAGGCGAAAGCTTGATAGAACCGTTTTTTTTCATTTCATACGAATTTGAAAAATCTCTAAAATTCATTCAACGTGATGAAGACATGTTTCTGGCAATTTTTGAAACAAAAAGGCGACACTTATAAATTCTGTACATAATACCTATCATTTTACATAGACCAAATCCTAATGAGAAATTTTTTTTTTCAATTTCATATGAATTTTACAAACCTTCGGAATTACTTCAACCTGATGAAGACCTTTATTTTTAGCAAGTTTTGAAACAAACAAAAATTCGACCTATACCCACCTAAAAATAATGCAGACTGCACTTTTTTAAACGATTTCTGATCAGCACAATTTTTATTCTCATTTCACGCGAGGTTGAAAAACTTTTTGAACTGCTGTACTTGAACCTGATCTGGAAATTAATGTTATTTTTTTAACAATTCACCAGGATGATTACATGGAGGCGCTGAATCGTCTGCACCAGACAGTCACCCGAGCCCACAAGGTCAACCCCAGCATCCACTTCGAGGTTTTCATCCATAAGGTCGACGGGTTGTCGGACGACAATAAGATAGACACCCAGCGGGACATTCATCAGCGCGCCAACGACGACTTGTGCGATGCAGGTTAGAGACCTGAGTAACGAAAGAAAAGAAAAAATGAGAAAACATTAGAAAATAAAAAAAAAACAATTGTGTTCAGATACAGTACATTACTTCCGAAGAAGCGCGTCCGGCGAAAAGCATAAACGAATTATGATGATGTTGATCATTATCTCGACTCGTTTTTTTCGCGTCTTCGTAGAATGTTTCTGGTGCAAACTCAGTGGTTGTGGATGTTCGGGTCTTTTTTTATTAAAAAAAAAAATTGGACTCTCTCTGCGACGGAAGTCAAGGGACCAGAAACAAATTATTGTTGAAAGAATTTCGTTGTAGAGAACTCCTTTGAATATGGGAACTCAAAAAAATACGTTATGCAGAAGAAAATCGTTGTAGACTAAACCGTTGTACAGAGAGAAAGTCCAATTGTGTACTCAAACCTCAGTCTAATGCCATCATTTGACATGGTATAATATATTTTTGGCATTTGGAATAACTTCAGGGTATTGCATCAGAAGTAGGCTTCTAATATAGGTAAAATGAGCTCTTTTGTGGGATTGTAAGTGAGCTGTTTTTTATTTTATTACAATTTATTTTTAAATACAGAATACCGTATTTGATTTTTGCACACATTTTTTCAAGTGAAAGAGCAGAACTGTTTCTTGAAGTTTTATGTCAACCTTTTGATGAGAGCACACAATTGAAAGATCAGGTAGATATTTTTTTCATGGAGGTTAACCCATTATGGAGATGCTTTTTCCTGTGGAGGACATCCAAATACTTTGATATACCATATTTACTTGAGTACCAGGTGCACCTTTTTTCTCAAATTTCAGAAGAAAAAAGGGGTGCGTGTCATAGTGGGTAAACATTTTTAAGAAGTCTTAGGAAGTTATGTGTGCATTATTCTTAAATATAATGGAGAAATTTCAAACAAATGTAACAAGAAAACGTTTTTGTACTGAAAAAGTTGAAAATTGATCTGATTTTTGTTCAATTCATGTCTAAAGTCAAATTTATGAATTTATTTTCAAAATTTTGTGGTTTTAGATTCACTACAAATTGGGGTGCGCGTCTTACTTGGGTATAAGATTTTAGCCAAATTTCCAACTGAAAAACCCCTGTGAGTGCCTTACTGGAGGGTGCGTGGTACTTGAGTAAATATGGTATACCAGCAGCAAGTTACGCTTTATTTCAGAAATATAATTTCCAAAATGATCTCAGTACAGTAATAACTTGATGATACCCTGGAAAGAGGGCATACTTTCTTTGGGGTTTGCCTACTTCCATTAATGGCAAGACATTTTTATGGTAGTGAGTGAGTTGACATTTAATTTGGGGTTTTTCTTGAGACCACAATGGAGGGAGATTTGTTCCATGAAAATTTGTGGCCCTATGCAATGGTGGCATTAAAGCTTGGGGCACTGAATCGAGGGTTGACTGTATCATTTTATTTATTATGCAGTACATTTTTGTTTTGTTTTTTGCTTTCTTGTTTTTTCTTTTATGGAGATCTCTTGATGGTTCTCCGTGGGGGTTGCATCAACTAGTCTTCCGTTTGCCTGCTTATGAATCAGAAGCGGAAAAGGGTAGAAGGCATATGGTTCAGAATTGAATTGCTGCGAGGGGGAATGTTGGGTGAGGTCAAGTGCAAATACGTTTGTGTATTTTGTTTTTCAGTTTAAAAAAATCGTGTCGAATTTGTTGTTTTTTTTCGTGTTTTGGAACCTGTGACCTAGCTTTTTGATCGAAGATTGACCTGACCGTATTGTAGTGAAATTGAAAGTGAGGTCTCTAGTCAAAAATCCCTTCTGTCTACATTTTTTTGTGGGGTAAAATCTCGGTATAAAAGTATAGTAATGATGTGCTTGAGGCAAAAAAAAAAACCTTCATTAAAACTGTAAATTCTGAGCATTGAATAAATTTCCCTTCATTTTAGAGTTACCGGAAAAATGAATATTCATCCTGAACAGTAATGCGTTATGAAGATGTTTCACTGTGAATGAAAGTTGTGTCAAAATAACAAAATTCTATGGATCACTTGGGAAAGCTTGGTGATTTTCTTGGATTTTTTGCGAAGTTCTGTTGACTGTTTTTTTGCATGCTGGGTTAGGATGTGATGGGCAACTTCTGAAACCCGGGTTCCATTGGCTGATTTTTGTAAATATTTTTGCAAATTTTTGTTTTGTTTTTTTCTTTGAAGTTCAATAACAAATTGACGCATTGTTTCCCAAACGATCCGTTGCCATACTTTTCATTCTTCACTCACCTAAGTAGAAAAAATTACCACAATAAAAATAAAATATAATATAAATATAAATATAAATATAAATAATAATAATGCAATTTTTCCCACAGTTCCGTGATTTTTGGCGTTTCAATTTTAAATTCGCAACTAAAATACAGTATTATGAGCAGTCAACTTGAAAAATGGCAACAGATAAACAATGAAATTTTGAAAGCCGGTGAGAGAAACCATTCATGGAGACAAAATCCAGGTTTCAGCATTTATACGTTTTGACGAGCTGCAGGTCGAATAATTTCCTCAATTCCAGATAGTTTTCTAAAAGATTTTCCAAGGCGTACAATATTTGGTCAACTTCGAAGAATTCACCGAAAAATTCGCGAAATGTTTTTCGAAAATGTTACCCGGGGTTTGAAGTTACCCAGCTGTTGCGTGATGCCGATAACCGTATATTTTTACGATTGCAATCCATAAAAGGCGCCTTGGAAAAAAAAATTGATGAATAACGCATGAAGATAATGCCGACATGGGGAAAAATGTCGCGATGAAAATTGCACTGACGGTTTCAATGTCGCACGTGAAAAAATAAAAATAAACGGAACCGTCGGGAAAATACCACGGAAGGTAAACAAAAAAACGTCTGTTGTGAGGAAGAATTTGTTGTGAAAATTGAAGAAGTAGACCGAGAGAAAAAAAACAATCGCATGGAAACAATTTTTGCAATGCTAAATATTCTCGACTACGCGTTGAAGCATAACTAGGAGGCGGAAAAGTATTAAAAATGGAATATCAGTGTTTCTTATTAATTATTGGAGATAGACTCCCTCCGAAACGAAAAAAAAATCGCTGCGAAGAGAATAAAAAAAAATATATCCTTGTACTGTACCGATAAAATTAAAATATTGTAGACAATATTGTTGAAGAGAGTCCACTTGAATTATTTTACCAGAAGCCATTATTTATTGGATTAGCTAATGCCATCACTTAAAATAATTATGCAAAAGAAAAACTGGCAATTTTTTGGTTTTTTTTTGAAAATGCCAGAGGATACTTTCCACTCATGTCTTGGTATTTGTCACCATAATTTCGCGAGATTTTCATTCTGACTCCCCCCCCCCTCCCCTTTTCTTGGGAATATTTTTCGTGGTAAAATCACGAATTTTCCTGATCCCACGTTTTCTCTAGAAAAAATAACAAATTGACGCATTGTTTCCCAAACGATCCGTTGCCATACTTTTCATTCTTCACTCACCTAAGTAGAAAAAATTACCACAATAAAAATAAAATATAATATAAATATAAATATAAATATAAATATAAATAATAATAATGCAATTTTTCCCACAGTTCCGTGATTTTTGGCGTTTCATTTTTAAATGCGCTACCAAAATCAGTATTATGAGCAGTCAACTTGAAAAATGGCAACAGATAAACAATGAAATTAGAAAGCCAGTGAGAGAAACCATTCATGCAGACAAAATCCAGGTTTCAGCATTTATACGTTTTGACGAGCTGCAGGTCGAATGATTTCCTTAATTCCAGATAGTTTTCTGAAAGATTTTCCAAGACGTACAATTTTTGATCAACTTCGAAGAATTCACCGAAAAATTCGCGAAATGTTTTTCGAAAATAGTACCCGGGGTTTGAAGTTACCCAGCGGTTGCGTGATGCCGATAACCGTATATTTTTGACGATTGCAATGCGTAAAAGGCGCCATGGAAAAAAAAAATTGATGAATAACGCATGAAGATAATGCCGACATGGGGAAAAATGTCGCGATGAAAGTTGCACTGACGTTTTCAATGTCGCACGAGGAGAAAAAAATAAACGGAACCGTCGGGAAAATATCACGGAAGGTAAACAAAAAAATGTCTGTTGTCGTGAGGAAGAATTTGTTGTGAAAATTGAAGAAGTAGACCGAGAGAAAAAAAAATCGCATGGAAACAATATTTGCAATGCTAATTATTCTCGACTACGCGTTGAAGCATAACTAGGAGGCAGAAAAGTATTAAAAATGGAATATCAGTGTTTCTTATTAATTATTGGAGATAGACTCCCTCAGCAACAAAAAAAAAAATCGCTGCGAAGAGAATAAAAAAAAATATATCCTTGTATTGTACAAATAAAATTAAAATATTGTAGGCAATATTGTTGAAGAGAGTCCACTTGAATTATTTTACCAGAAGCCATTATTTATTGGATTAGCTAATGCCATCACTTAAAATAATTATGCAAAAGAAAAACTGGCAATTTTTTGGTTTATTTTATTTTTTGAAAAAGCCAGAGGATACTTTCCACTCATGTCTTGGTATTTGTCACCATAATTTCGCGAGATTTTCATTCTGACTCCCCCCCCCTCCCCTTTTCTTGGGAATATTTTTCGTGGTAAAATCACGAATTTTCCTGATCCCACGTTTTCTCTAGAAAAAAAAATTTCATTAGTATTTTTTTCTTCTCTTGTGGTTTAAGTTTGGGACGCTGAGAAGGGGATTCGATTTTCTCGAGTGGGGGGTTTTTCGTTCAAGTGGAAGTGTTTAAATTTTTTTTCTGGGTGTTGGGTTCGTGAGGGTTCATTTCTTCTTTCTATTTTTCTTGGAATCAAGTTTTTGGATGCGATGAGGAGATAATCTGTGATGAGAAAGGAGATGGTCGGCCTTGTCCCTGTTGAACGCTCATTTCCGACGTTGTAAGGGGAAGATTGGAGTGGGTCTCTTTCCATCTCCACGCGCTTGTTACTGAGCTACTATTCCTTTTTTTTTTTTTTTTGTGGAACGTGAGGGTGTAGGAGTTTG